CAATATACAACAAAACAACAACAAACCACTGGCAAAAAACTAAACAAAACACAACAAGAAAGAAAAGCTTGTAGTTAGTTTAAGGATTGTTTGTTGGCCTTTAGGAGTGTTTTCCAGTCCAATCTGTTGGGACACTACACCCTGGCGCCAAAGTCCACCGTCAGCATTCCCTGGAGACCTTGCCACTCCATTCCCTTGCTGTTCTGTTGCACCCTCTTAGTATTTTGCCTCGGTGTGGCACAATCAGATCGGGTGCAATTCCCACACTGTGTCTCCGGTGTTGTACCCTGTAGGGCTATGGGTCAGTGAGGAGTGTCATGTCTCGTAGTGCAGCCGACCATGTGGTCCTCTCTTGGACTGGCTGCTCTAATTGTGAACATCATCCTCACAGTCTGGTGGGCCAGGATGTGCTCCACTCTCTCCTCCTCCCTCTTCATCTGCACCCGTGTGCTCCAATCAGATATGTCCCTCTCCCGGAGCTGCAGATTCAATGCCGTCCTTTGAAATAAATTCTTCTGGGGGGAGGGGCAGGTGTCCACGTAGTAGTTGGGATTGGGGCCGGTCCCCCACATGTGTTCATTTTCACACTTGTTATATGCGGATACCAAGGTATTCAGGGAGGCAAGCACAAATAATATGTGCTTGGAATGGGCATTTCAACTGGTGACCGTTTTCCCAGTCACGCCTTTTGTTTTAACAGTTAGAGCGTCTTCAAGCATCATACGAAGAGTTGAAGGCTCAGTCTCAAGAGGAGATCCAGCACCTGTGGTCCCAGCTCAATTCTGCAAGAGCCGATGGTCAGGAAGGGCGGGGTAAGGAGTTTTGTGTTGGCAGTCCAGATCCTCAAGTGCTATGGTTTTCTTTCTAAATGTTGAAGCACCAAACTGGGGTTTACAATTGTGAGATGCCCCTGACATTCTGCAAAGCTCCTTTGAGAAACCAAGTCTTGCCCTTTGCTGCATCAGGGCAGTCTCTGTGCCGTCTCAGAACATTGTGAATTGCAGGTTGTTGGAACAGAAGCAGCATAGACCTCTTCAGGTTGTGCATACCACGTGTGGCTCAGGTCCCAGACCACGAGGTAGGGAGGTATAGCCAGACCAAACCAAAACTAAATTCACTGTCTCAAAGTTCATACTGAGTCATAGTTACCCTGTAGGACAGGGTAAAATTGCCTTACTTTTCGGGATAGAAAGCCCCATCTTTCTTCCTCTGGTGGCTGGTGGTTTGAACTGTTGACCATGCAGTTAACAGTCAATTTGGTAACTGCTACACACTACCAGGCTTCTTTCAAACAGACGGACAGCTTCTAAACTTAACCATGATGCTTACTGGGCAGTGATATTTGGAAGGAAGAGCAGAGTGATGAGGCAGGGCTGGAAGTGAGCACTCTCCACACAGGTCTGCCTGCTGTGGTCATTTGTGCAATCCTCTCCTTAGCTCTCTGCTCAACCTTGTGACAGCAGGTCCAGTTGGTTACTTGAAAGCTAGTGAGTACGGTAAACCAGCTGCAGTGTTCTTTGGATCAAAATAGCAATAAAGAGTGACAAACTGCCCTCTGTATTTCCTCTTAAGCATGGCAGCTTAAAACCACACCCATTTACTAGCTCTCACTTGTGGGTCAGAAGCCAGAGGTGGTGCGGCTGAGTACTTCTCTCTAGTTTCAGAGGACCCAGAGGGTTGCCTCAGGCCTCTATGAAACTCCTTTTCCTGTCTTAATTAGGCTGTGGGCTGGGATGGAGGCCTCTTGTACTTGGTGACTATTGGCTGAGTGTCACTCTCCATTTCTGAGACTGCCCCAGGTTCTTGCTACAGGACCACCTTCATTGTCACAGCTCCTCATGCTGTGTTGAGTGCTCCTTATGGCCTGACTCTCCCTCCTGCCAGCAGCCAGAGGACGCGTTCTGCTTCTCGAGGGGGTTCTTGTGCTGGGGGCTAAGCCCATCTGGTGCTGTGCCCTTGTGTCCCGGGCTGTTTCTTGTCACACAGCCAAGGCACGAGGGACTCTATTGCACTTATATGTTCTGGGACTTGGATTTGGAATCTTGGGTCCAGTTTTGGAATTTTGCCCTCCATATCTCAGGGCCTGAATTGTTGGGTACTCTAGTTGACTACAACTTACAGCAAAACTAGGTGACAAAGTAGAATTGCTTCGTAAGGTTTTTTTTCTGCTGTGATCTCTATGGGAGAAGATGGTTAGGTTTTCTGGGGACCTGCTGGGTGGGTGGGTGCATTGGTGGGTTCAAACTGCCAGCTCTAACGAAGTGCTTGATTGTTGCACCATGAGGATTCCTTAGGGCCTGGAGTAGGTCCTGGTTCTTCACAAGAGTTTTGTGTTAAGATGACGGCATGCTTTCATCCCATTGAAGGGTTCCATGAGGAGCTCTTGGTTTCAGCATCGCACGTGGAAGAGTTAGAACTGCTAAAGCGAGACTTTGGACTGCAGCAGCAACGAGAGAAAGCTGAACATGAGACTGATCTGGAGCAGTTGAGGATTTATTTTGAAAAGAAATTAAGAGATACTGAAAAAAGCTACCAGGAAGACCTAACTCTGTTACAGCAACGGCTGCAAGAGGTGAAGGAAGATTCTTTTCAGGAATATGCGGAAATCAGGTAAATACAATGGTTTTTCATCATAAATAGGTGTTTCAAGTATAGAAACTGAACTGAATTCAGATTCCAGGGTTTGTTTGCTTTTTGCGTGGGGGTGTTATTTGGTAATCTCAAGTCTTGGTTTTATATTTATGTACAAATAAATGGCTTTCTTTAGTTGGCACTTGAAACAAAGTGAATATTAAATAGCACCCAAGTCTTTGGCTTATGGGACCGAGCCTGCAGTTTCTCCACGTCATGTCTTGGGACTTAACAGGGAGCTGTGGGTATAGAGTCCAGGACCCAGCATGTTCCTGTGGGTGTCTCCTTGCCTGTCGGCATGCTTTCGTGGGCTCCAGTTCAGAATTCACCCATCGCTACTCAGACACAACTGACTCCATGGGAGCACGGGCCTCTTGCCAACATAGAGCAGGCTGGCCCTGGATGGGTGGGGAGGGATTTTCTCCTCGGATACAGGCGGTTTCAATGCTTTCCAGGACAGATTTGAGTTTCTGGATGGAGAAGTGGCATTTGCTCATTGCTTAACTCAAGTTTTCTCTCTTAGCTCCTCCAGTATGTTTTTAGAAGAGATAGCTGAGAAGGAAAGGAAAGAACACCTTGACCAACTGAAACTTCAACTCGAGCAGCATGAGGTGATGGGCCTTTTTTTTAAATCATTGAGAAAAGGTTGAGTGTTATTAATCTTATATTTAGGAGTCTGGATTCGTGCTTCTCACCCATCAAGTAGCAGAAAGCTTGCACCTTTATCTTACATGTGCCTCTGATGCTCAGCACATTGCATTACTATGTGTTTGCACACTTGGGATAACTGCTGTGGGTTATCGATCGGGAGGTAGAATTGGTGGTCCGAAGGGTCCTTGCTTTATTTCCTTGTCTGGCTTCTGTGTATTCCACGTGCTACTGGCCCTTGTGTACCTTCCTCCTTGAGAGGTCTATACCTTGTTTAAGTCTGTCGTTATTAACCTCATAAATCAGTGCTGTCTAAGCAGAGTTTCTGTGTGACCGTGGACACGGTCCCTGTCTGTTGTCCAGCGTGGTAGCACTAGCACGTGCCTGTGAGGAGCTGAAGCTTTCATTTACTTGATTGTAATTCATTTGCATGTCAGGCGCTGCACACATCCAGTGGTTGCTGGGTTGGCCAATGCAGTTCTGTAGGGCGTGCGGGTCTTTCTTTGGTATTCAGAACATATATGCTACTTGGGGGTGTGATGTACCATCTTTTATTTTATAGACTTGTCCTTGGTATTTAAGTATTTCTAATTTTCCATTGTCAATATCTATCTTAAAAGTATCTGATTATTTCTTTGGGATAAGTTCTAGATCCGTGATTTTCACTGCTCCCAGAATTTCTCCCTGAGCTGGCCTAGACACCTACTCCCCACCCCTAGTCTGGTGTACCCAAAGTTCTAGCTCCTACTAGAGCAGCTACTATGGCCACAGGTTGGACCAGATGTTTGGGGCTTTTCTTATTCGTTTAAGCACACGTATAAATTCATGTACCCTCCACCATAGTCAAGGTACAGGGTATCTTCATCACTTACCTACCAACTACTTTCCTCCTGCTTCTCGCTAACCACTGCTCTTCCTACCTGCGACCACTCATCTAGTCTGCATCACTGTCATTGGAGATTGGGAGAAAGATAGGAGTCTTTCAACTCCCATAAAGGTTTATGGTCTTGGAAACCACAGGGCCAATTTACTCTGTCCTATAGGGTCACCATGAGTTTGAATTGATTCCAAGTTCACTAGCAGTGACCTTTTGGTTGGCATAGTTTGAGAGAGTCTTATAAATAGAATTGCATGCTGTTCACATGTTTGAGACCGTCATCTTTCACTCAGCATAATTCCCTGTATGCAGCAAAGTTGTTGCATGTGTCCATATTAATTCCTTTTGTCTCGTGTCCTGCAACTTTGCTGAACTCACTAATCTGAGAGTTTTTTTTAATAGATTCCCTGAGATTTTCTACGTAGAAAATCATGGCTTCTGCAAATAGGGACTCCTTTGTTTCTTCCGTTCTGAGCTGTGTGTCTTATTTATTGTGTGCCTACCTTACTGCGCAGACTGGGCTGATTGGAAGTTAAGAAAGAGGGTGTCATTGCCTTGGTTTTGATTTAGGAGTGAGCTTTAATAATTATAAGCTGTGGGCTCATGGAAATGTTTTTTTAACAAAGTGGAGACATTCCTTCTAGTCCTTTTTTTGGAGTGTTTTTATTGTGAGTAGGTATTGGATTTTGTCAGATGCCTTTTTTGCATCTATGAATTTAAGTTTTTTCTGTCTATTGATATGGCATATTACATTGATTGATTCTTTAAATTTTGAACCAGCCCTGTATCCTGGAATAAAGCCTGTGGCGTATGACACTTTTTATATATTGCTGGATTATTTTATGATAATCCAACATTCAATTTTATTAAGCAGGCTTGTACATATGTTGCCATCAACGTTTCCCAAACATTTTATTTCTACTTGAGCCCTTGGTATCAGGTCCTTTCCCTTCCCTCCCTCGTGAATCCTTGATCAATCATACAATATTGTTGTTATTTCATGTCTTACACTGTCTGTTGTTTCCCTTCACCCACATTTCTAGTCCCACATTTATTAGTCCCCCTAGGGAGTGGCCTATATATCCAACCTTGTGATGGGTTCCCTCTGGCCACCCCATCCTCCATCCCCCTACCCTCATGATATTGCTACTTCCACTACTGTTCCTGAGGGTTTTATCTGTCCTGAATTTCATGTGCCCACAGTTCTTTTCTGTACCAATGTGTATACTCTGGTCTAGCCGGATTTGTGAGGTAGAACTGAGTCATGGTAGTGGGGTGGGGAGGAAGCATTCAGGAACTAGAGGAATGATGTGTGTTTCCTCAGTGCTATACTGCACCCTGGTTGAATTGTCCCTTCCTTATATCCCTTCTGTGGGGGAATGCCCAGTTGTCTACAGATGGGCTTTGGGTCTCCACTCCAACCTCCCTCAGTCACATCAATATAATTGTTTGTTTTGGATCTTTTGATTCCTGATATCTGATCCTGTAGACACCTCATGATCGCACAGGCTGGTGTGCTTCTTCCATGTGGCCTTGTTTGCTTCCCTGCTAGATGGCTGCTTGTTTAACTTCAAGCCTTTAAGATACCAGCTGCTGTAACTTTTGATAGCTGAGCACCATCCCCTTTCTTCATCAGATTTGCTTATGCACCCATTTTGTCTTTGGTGATCATATTGAAAAGGTGAGTATCAAAGAGTTCCAGGTTATTAGAGCAAAGTATTCTTGTGTTTAGGGGGCCTAGAGTAGAGGCCCAAATTCCGCCTGCTATCTTAATACTTAACATATAAATATATGTACATTGGTCTCTAACCCTTTCATTATAAATCAGTATATTTACATATATACATGCCTATAGCCCCTGTAAATAGCTTTTGCCTCCTACTTCTTTTCTCTATTTCCTTTCACCTTCCTCCTATCCCACTATCATGCTCACCCTCCACTTGGATGAGGATTAATTTTTGAGAATTAAGGCTAACTCCGCTTTAAATGCCTGGTATAAGTCTGTGAAACCACTTGGCGTGGAGATTTCTGTTTTGAAAAATTTTTAAAGCTAATTTCCTTAAGAGGTAGAGGAATCCACAAATAACTCCGTAATTATAAATTCAACACTTTAGATGAAATACATCTAAATTCACAATGAAAACTAACTCAAGATGAAGTTTGTAAAACCTTAATTAATGTTCCTTGTTTTATTTCTCTACTTGATCTTTCTGGATCTATTGCCATGGCTACCCAGAAACTCACAGAGAAATATATGATTAAAGGATTCCATTAAGAAAGTTAACAAGTTGTAATGCCAGTGAGAAATGACTGAGGGTAGTTGTTTACTAGGACATGTTACAAAGTTTCAGGCCTGCTAATAAATGCTGGAAAGAGCATACCACGCTGCTATGAGCCTCAATCTGAAGGTATTCGGCTCCAGATCCATGGGTCAGCAAACCCAGCTCCCTGAATTACATCATTAGTGGCACCCAACGTCCAGCCTCAATCTGAAGGCATTCAACTCCACTTCTCCCACTTTGCAAGCCAGCCTCCTGCACAAAAGCACTCCGCTTGACCTGCTCCGTGGGTTGGGAAGTCCATCACTCTGTTTCATGCTCTAGCCCCTGGCTCTGCTGCTGCTGCTTTGATGGTACAGTTGGATCGGGGAGGTTCACTGCTCAGGGATCTTGGGTCCAGAGGACACCCTTCACTCCTGGCTCTTGCTGGTAATGAGATCCCTTCTCCTGTTACTCAGAGAGCTTATTTTACCTATAGCAAGGTGTCACCCCGGGGAATAATGTTCAAAATTACTCGCAAGTGGATCCTATCAGTATCTTTCCCAATTTCCTTACTAGATCCATTCAGGGAAAAGTCGTTTGGTGGGAGTTAGAGATTTTGCCTAGAAGAGTCACATTAACTAACTCATTGTCCCTTAAAAGCTGAAAAACAGAAGTTCTATGTAAAACCCAACCCAAGTCACTACCCTCAAGTCAATTCAGATTCATGGCAACCCTGTAGGAAAGGGTAGAACTGCCCCCTTTGCAGTCTCGGGAGTAGAGTGCTTCCTCTTCCTGAGGAGCAGCTGGTGGTTTGAAGCTGCTCGGAAGAAATTTTAGACCTGGACAATTCCATTGGTGCACACTACCAAGTATTTAAAGGAGAATTGACACCGTTCCCTCTAGTTTCTTCTAGAAGGAAGGAGCAGGGAGCGAGGGCACACCTCTGGGTTTCAGAGGATCAGACTCTGCCCTTCCTCCCCCTTGGTGGCACTGGTACCATGTCACCTGGGGTGTGCTCCTCATTGGGCTGATGGCAGGTGACTTTTCTTAGTTTGCAATTCATTGCTTATTTCTTTGCTCATATTTCTGCTTGTGTAGTTGGTTGTTAGGTATCTTTGCCACTTGCTGTTGGTGAGGAGTTAGTCTCTGGCACGGTGTTGCTTGTCCCTCTTTACTACCAGCAGTCCCTTTGGTGTGGGCTGTTTTTATCACCTCTCAGTTGACCTCCTTTTTGGCCGTAGGACTGGTGTCTGGTTCTGTGAGTCTTCTGCCACCACTTTGTGCCTTTCTTCTCAGCTCTTGGTCCCTATTTTCACCGTGACTGCATTTTCCCCTGGTTCTTTTTAAATTTATACATATATTGCTAATCCATCTGGTGCTTAGTTTTACTGGGAGGAAGAGAGGGGGAAATATGGCGGTGAATGCAGGCAGGCCGTGGCTGACTAGGGTATACCTCTAGGCAGGCTCCAGGCTGCTGGTGGTAAGCATCTCCAAGAAGGGGCTCCCAGCAGCCTGTGTGCTTGGTCTTGGGTCTGTGTGAGCACAACAGAGGTGGGTGGGCACCTAGGGTGGGTTGGTTGTTGTATCTTTGCATGATGTTAGGCTCATGATGTTTGGTGTCCTGCATTCTGTCCCACGCCTGCCCCTGCAGATTGAGTCTTTCTCCCTTAAGTAACTTACGTCTGCCAGCAGTTAGCATGGTGTCCCCTAGAAGCTAACACTGGCTGGCATAGAATGGATGTACAGCCACAGAAAGCTTTATGTGCTTTGAACCAGCGGAGACATGTTCAGATGCGTCCCCTCCAAGAAGGAGAGGTGGCTCAGCGAGGTGTTCTCTGTGCTTCCACAGGAGAGCCTGGTGCATCTGCAGGTGGAGCTGGAAGAAAAACACAGGCGGGAATTGGAGATGTTGAAGTCCTCTCTTGAAATTCGCCACGAGGAGGAGGTGATGAAGGTTAAGATGGACCTCACGGACAAGCACCTTGCAGAGACCCAGGTGTGGAAGAGGGAGCAGTGCCTGGAGCTTGAACGGCTGCGGGCCGCCCTCTCAGGAGAGCATGTCCAAGGTGTGTCTCCATGATCCCTCTGTCCCATGTCCCTAGCCCCTGGGCTTCTGTTTCCAGCCTATGGAGAGAGGTGTTGGGCCCCGATCACTGATTTGATCCCTAATTAATGAGCGAAAGATGAGATTTTCCATTATTGTAAAGAGTTAGTCTTGGAAACCCATAGGCATAAAGATCGTCATGTATGAAACTGTGGGGCAGTAGTAGTCTGTCCTGTAGTGTTGCCAAGAGTTGGAATCACCTTGACAGCACACAACAACAGTAGAGATACCATTGTCGGTGGTCTCGGGGTGTCCTTTCCCTGCAGAGCTCACACGGATGCGTCTCCAGTGTGCGCAGGACGTGGCTTCAGATGTGGAAACAGAGGTGGCTGCAAGAGTCTTGGGCTTGGAAAATGAGTACAAAGTTAAGCTGTCACTTCTTCAAACTGATCTAAAGGAAGAAATGGAACTCTTAAAAATAGAAAATAGAAATTTACATGAGAAGTTGCAGCATGAAATCCATCTGAGAGAAGATGCAGAGAAAGTAAGTTTTACTCCTCCCGTAGAGATGCTGTTTGCCAGGTAGGGCTGGGCTAGCCCTGCTTTGGTCCCTGTTGCTGTCTCATGGTCCTTGGTGGATTTGATGGATTTATAAAGAGCAGGACCCTGTGCTGGGCTGCGTGCAGGGGGCCACCTACAACAAGGTACCTGTGAGATGTCACATCTTTTCTACATCTACTTCCATTACCCTGCTTGCCTCTAATTCTAATGCATACCTGTGACCAGCTGTTACTAACTGTAATGTGCCATGTCTTGCACTTTGTGAATGATAGTTTGTAAAGTCTCATTGATGTTTATTTCAGCAAGCAGTCACCTTGGCAGAATTCACATGCCATACCCTGCCTCACTAGTTTAGTTCTTTTGTCTGAACAGGCCTGCTTTTGGGGTCTGCTCACGTGTGTCGATCAGGATTAGTCTTGAGATTTGGGCATGATTTATTGATAGAATTTGTAACTCTGTCTCTCTACTTCTGTCCTTACTGTGGGCATTTGTTGTCTGGTGCTTTTATATTAGAAAGACCACAAGTGGATGGCTTTAAGAAATTCATGTTCTTACACTTTAGAAGGCTAGGAGTCTGAATTCAGGGCCTCAGCTTGAGGGGAAGGCTTTCTGTCTGTTAGTTCTTTGGGAAAGTCCTTGTCTCCTTTCAACATTTTTTGGTTACCAGCCCAGTGCGTATAACTACTACGCCACAAAAACTTCTCAGGATCAGCAGTTCAAAACCACCAGCTGCTGTGTGGGAGTAAGCCGAGGCTTTTTACTCCCTTGTAGAGTTAAAGTCTCAGAGACCTACAGGGTGGCAATGCGTCCAAATCAGCTTGATGGCAGTGAGGTTTTAGCTTTTTTTTAAAAAATCAGTTTATTGGGGCTCATACAATTCATCACAATACATAGATCAATTGTGTACAGCACATCTATACATTTGTTGCCCTCATTATTCCCAAAATTCGCTTTCCTCTTGGGTTCCCGGAATCAGCTCATTTTCCTTTTTTACCCCTCCCACTCCCTTCCCCTTCCGCCCTCCCCCATGAACCCTTGATAATTTATAAATTATTATTATATCTTATATTACACTGCCTGGCGTCTCCCTTCACCTACCCCTCTGCTGCCCGTCCCCCGGAGAGGAGGTTATATGTAGCTCCCTGTGATCAATTCCCCCTTTCTACACACCCCTTCCCTCCTGGTATCGCCACTGTCACCCCTGGTCCTGAGGGGTTCATCTGTCCTAGATTCCCTGCATTTCCAATTCCCATCTGTACCGCTGTGCATCATCTGGTCTAACCAGGTCTGCAAGGCAGAATTGGGGTCATGGTAGTTGTGGGGAGAGCTTTGTTTTTTTCCATAATCTCTTACAGGTAAAGGTTTGACTCAGGCCTGGGTTGACTTGAGGACTTGAGTAAAGATAGAACTTCAGTCATGCCCTCTTGTATCTGTGACTCAAGGTACAACCCACTCTAATCCTGCCTCATTAACATACAGAGATTAGGACTCACAATACACATTATGAAATGGAGGATAATTACGTCATATCATAAAATGGGGCATAACCACCCAATCCTGGGACTCATGGCCTAGCCCAGCTATTCATCGTTTGAGGGGGGACACAGTTCTGTCATGACTTGGCCTCTTCTCCCTTTTTGGTGTCTCAGGTTCACAGAGGAAAGGTTGTGGGAGTTCTACCAGCATAGCACAGGTGGTTTGCTCTCAGGCTAAAACACTTCTCATGGACACCTCACCCAGTGACATTGTTTATATGTGTTCTCCAGAGTCATTAGGGAGCTTTCAAAAATATTCTTACTGGACGTTTATAGTTGTTCCTTTTGGGAAGGTGAGTTTGATTAGAGCTGGAATCAGAAGCATAACCCGAACCTTAGTTTTCATTACTTGAATTTTAAATAAGAGGAGTTGGGTCATTCTGATGTTTTACTTTAAAAAAAAATTGTTATTGAAGATATCTAATGATTTATTGACGTATGCTTTTGAAAATCAGCATATGTCCATATCTTCAGTTTCATTATTATCGCCCTTTTTTCCGTAATCCCTCCCCCCCAAAAAAACCCAAAACAAACAAGAAACCCCTAGAATTTCAGCATTGTGTAGTTTGTCAGCCTCTTGCTCTTTCCATGTCCTAGAATGTAAAAGGTGCAAGCCAGGAGACTTGAGCTCATACACTGTTCACTGTGTCCGCTCACATGCTGATGGTGAGCCTTCTCCTGATGGTGTCCACTTTGCCCTGGGCAGAAAAGCAGATGCCTGGACAAGTCTAGTATGGCCGCTGGTGGTCTAGGGCACAGCAGTGAAGGCTCTTACCCCCTGTGTTGCTTGGCTTTGCTCATGTTTCTGTTGTTGAGTTGGCTAGTGCCTGTAGATTCTAGGAGTGCCCACTCCAGAGATACAGCGTGGTTGGTTCTAGGTGCTAGGGGGTGGGTACCGTTTACCAGGTGCTAGGCGGTGGGTACCATTACTCTTTAAAGCAGATAGCTTTAGAGAGATTCCTTTTAGGTCTCTCTTATTAGGAGCCCTGGTGGCACAGTGGTAAACATTTGGCTGCTAACTGATAGGTTGGACCCACGTGTGACTATGGAGAAAACCTGATAATCTGCTCCCAAAAAGTGTGCGGCCTGGGAGACATAGAGGATGGTTCTATTCTCTACAGGATCACTATGCATTGGATTAATTTGATAGCACACAGGAACAATGATGAATAGTTTCTTCTGTTCCTACCAACAGAACTGTTCCTGCTACTCTGCCCAGCATGATGTCGCCATGCTGCGGGCCTCTTTCTGTTTTCCCTGGTGGAGTTGAGTCACTGATGCCAATAACCTTCCCTTTTAATTCTCTTAAATTCATTACAATTCTCTTGTCTGCAGGCAAAATGTAAATTAGTTGAAGACCACCAGGAAGAAGTAAGGAAAAGTAAGGAGAAGATTCAGTTAATGAGACAAGAATTCAAAGAAAAAGAAGAAGAATGGAAAGTTACTCGCGAGGACCTGAAGAGAAAAGCTGAAGAGAAATTAACACTGGTGCTCCTTGAACTAAGAGAAAAAACGGAGTCTGAGAAGCAGGCAATAATAGATAAGTTTGAGCTTCGAGAGACTGAAATGAGGCAGCTTCAGAATGAGCAGGCGAAGCAGATCCTGGAGCTGGCAAGGTCTCTGGCCGAGCAGCAGGGCCGCCTGCAGCAGCTGGAACTCGGGGTGGCAGGGGATGAGCCTCCACAGTGCAGCCAGTGCGGCCCCGTGGCTGAGGCTTGGGAGCGTACCACACTCCGCCTGAAGGAGGACTGTGCCCTCCAGCTGATGCTGGCCCAGAATAGGTGGGTGGTGGCCCAGGGCCACGTACTTGATGGGAGAAGGGGGCTTGGTTGCCATGTGACTATTGGGAAGCCTTCGAAGGGGTGAGGTAACTCTCGGGCAGTCATGCTGTGGAGGGCCTGGGGTTCAGTTTGAAGACATTTGGCCGCCTGGTCTTCCCCCTACGATCCCGACAGGTAAGCCCAGTGCCCAGACAGACACTGAGAGAGGCCTGTGTTCAGTGTTCTCAGTCCTTTAAGTAAAGTGTCGAGTGCGGGTCTCTACACTTTTCTATTTCTTTTTGTCCTTTAAAATTTCAATAAGTGAGCCACAAACCTCACTTATGAGACATCAGGAAGACATGAAGTGGATCACCGTGACTTTAATTTTTGTATTTTTAAAACACAAATAGGATTTTAAAAAAACATGAATTGGGTGAAGGTTGACAGCATATCATCAGTTATACATTAAAAATTCATACACTTTCCCCCAATAGTTTTATTGGCACATAATTTACATATATAATTCAATAGTTCAATCATTCAATCATATCAAGAATTGTACAATCATTACCACATCAGTTTTTCAATTTTGGAACATTCCCCTTGCCCCATCTTTAAATCGCCTTTAAAATGAGAGTGTAATCACAATCAGTTCTAGTGCTCCCTACCCCCTCCCGCCTTCATTGTTTACTCTCGAAATCCCCTTTCCCTCCCCATCACCCCTGCCCCCCCCCCCCTCCATCCCCTATAAATACATGTATCAGTTATCACTATGCATCTACTCCTCCTGTGCTTCATTCACAAACTGGGAAACCTAACAGAAACAACCAAGAAACCAAAATCGAAATAAGGTGGTTAGGATATAGTAATTTAAAAAGATAAATAAATAATAAAGATAAGACTCATCAATATTTACAAAGCCAGAGAAGAACTTTTTGTCATGGAACAAGTAAGAGATAGTTGCACCTAGAACAAACTCAGGTTGGGTCTATAGGGAGGTCATCTGGTCAAGTGTCGCGTTGAATCCAGCCTAATCAAGATCGCAATGGCGACTGCCTGACAGCCAGGCTGGTGGGGACTTGCCTGTGGCTAGAGCGGACCTGTCAGCGACATAGTCTGACTGGAGTCTCTGCAGATAAGTTTGGGGTTCTCACTGTCCTCCACAGCCTTTTATCAATTGGATATCATGATTTCAGCTCTAATTCCCTTCGTCATATTTGAATTTTGTTAATGTCTTCTTTGGATCACACAAGCTGGTGTGCTTCCCTGTGGACTTAGTTGACTCCTCGCTTAGATGGCTGCTTGTTTGAATACAAACCTTTAACACTCCAGACACTACTCCGATTGATAGCGGGGCACCATCTGCTTTCTTCACCGCATTTTGCTGTAGCACCCTTATCTTCAGTAATCATTTCATGAAGGTGAGTATCGAGCAGGGTCACATTATCAGAACGGACTGTTCTTGAATTGGGGCTAGAGTTAAGTAGGAGCCCAGACGCCATCAGCTTGTCCATGGGGTTTACACGTGTAGTCTCAGGTTTACTTTGGCGGTCTAATGTGGCAAAACCAAAGCCCTATAAGACCACCTGCACCAATAGCAGCATAAACCAAAACCAGTAGCCAAACAGAACACACACACACACACACACACACACACACGAAATAAAACAAGCTACAAGCAGGAAAGCAAAAGCCCATATAAACAAAGAAGTTACAGCGTTGTCAGCCACCCCCCTGGGGTATAAGTCAATTGCACTATTATCATCATTACTTCCCAATGATCCAGCACTCCAGACATTGTAGCTATGAGGATTCTATGTGAGTCCAGTTCCACCTCAACCCTCAACCCATGAGTGTTTTCCCTATACAGTTCGATTGCCTACTCAGTTGGGCTCTGTTGACCCCTAAGTGTGGGGATTGATCCCAGGAGGGACCTTCCTAGATCAGTCTTCCAAGTGCAGATTCCTGCTCAGCAGATTAAGACCAGTTGTGCCACTGCAAGGTGGGCATTGAAGTACTACATGTATGATCCTGGGTCCCTTTCCATTGGACACCCGCTGAGCTGGGGGTTTCCCATAAGGTCCAGTGACCGCCACTTCCACAGTCCTGGAATAACCACTCTCTGCTTCCTCTCCCATCCAAATAACCCCAAGTCCAAGGGTACAGGCGCTTCAAGGCAGGGCTCAGTTCATTCAGCTGGCCTTTAGGTTAAGTCCTTCTGGTGTAGTCCCTGCGTTATGCCATGCTGCCTACAAGGGTGCTTAGTCCATGGGGTGGCTCCCCTGTAGGTTGGGTAGAAACGTATTCGGAGTGTTTACCTTGGAACATAAAATCTGTCCCATTGTCCCCCCTAGGTTCCCTACACTCACTGTTTATCATCCCTTCCCGATGTGAGGTTAGTTCTCCCCTGTCATCCATCATACTCCCAACAGAACTGTTAGCACCTCCTCCACAATGTAGATGGTCCCTTCTCCTGGTCTTGGCTTGAATTTCCGGAAAGCTTCCATTCCTGTGGGGGGCCCACCTATTTGCCTGAGCCTTGTTTAGATGTTGAAGGAGTGACCCCCGGCAATGTGGCATCTTCACATGGGCTCTTGTGAAGGTGCAAAAAGGAGATGATGGCTGGCAGAAAGCCATGGGTCTGGTTCTTTTGTTCAGGAATTGGTTTCTAAGACTTGTTCAGTTGGTGTTTCTCCTTATAGTAGTGGACGCACACAATCCTTGCCCTTCTGTGATTGACTCACTGCACTCAGCTTGATGCCTTCGAGGCCCTGCCATGTCATGTGGCGTTTCATGTTTTTGTTGCTTTCTTTTAGGGACTTGTAGTGTTCCATTGTGGGTATGCACCATCGTTTTTTATCCATTCTTCCACTGTTGAGTATTGGGCTGCTTCCAGTTTCTTGCTATAGTGAACTGTGCTGCTATGAACATGGGAGAGCACACCTCCATCTGTGTTGTGTCTCCTATTTCATTAGGGTATGTGCCTAACAGTGGTATTGCTGGATCATATGTGATTTCAATTTCCACTTGCTTTTAGATTGTCATGTTTTTTTGCACAGTGGCTGTATAGTATCGACAAGTCCATCAGCAGTGTATATGAGTTTCAATCTTTCTATACCTTCTTCAGCATTTGTTGTTTTCTGGTTGGGTTTTTTTTGTGTGGGGGTGGTGGTGGTGGGGTGGTTAGCATGGTGGGTATAAAGTGGTATCCCATGGTTTTAATTTATATCTCCCTTATGGCTAGTGATCTTGGGCATTTTTTCATGTTTGTTAGCCATTTGTACTTCTATTTTTGATGACCTGTTCATGTCTCTCCCATTTCTTAATTGAGTCTCTTGTTATTTTCTTATTGAGCTATTGTAGAGTTCTGTATATTTTGGTAATTAACCCTTTGTCTGGTGTGTCATTGGTAAACATTTCCCCCAATTTGTGGGCTCGTTTCACTCTCCCGATGAAGAGTTTTGATGAGCATAAGTGATGTCGCTTCAGCATGTCCCAATCATCTATCTTGTCTTCTGCGGAATGGGCCTCCGCCATGCTGCTTGGTAGTCTTATGTATGCTCTGCAGTGGGGACTTTTAGGTTGTTCCAGCCTTCTCATTGATGATCATGAGAGCTTTGGGACTTACATTTAGGTCTTTAATCCATCTTGAGTTCGTTTTTGTGCAAAAAATTCGTACATATTTTGTGCCATTTCATTCGTTGCAGTCCCCACATTGTGACCTCACTTAGCCCCCTTCCTCCGTGCATTTCTTTGTCTATTCCTCCTCCTTTCCTAACCTTTCTGGAACTTTGCCCTTGGGTACCAGCTCCCTTTTTGATCTCACTAGTGTTACTGCTTCCCTTAAGACCTGGCTATAAAACTTAAACATCTTTATTTATTTATTTAAAATCATTTTATTGGTGGCTCGTACAACTGTTATCACAATCCATACATCGATTGAATCAGGCATGTTTGTACATATGTTGCCTTCATTCTTTTCTATACATTTACTTTCCATTGAGCCCTTGGTATCAGCCCCCCCCCCTGCACCCTCATAAACCCCTGATAGATTGTACATTGTTATTATTTTCATCTCTCACACCGACTGCTGTCTCCCTTCTCCCATGCTTTCTGTTGTTCTTCCCCCTGGAGAGGGGTGTATGATTGTGTGTCGATCATTGCGATTGGTTCCTCCTTTCTC